GGAGGCTTCCCTCCTCTCCCCAGTCCCCTGCACTAGCCAGGCGGAACCCCATGCCCAAGGATTAGGCAGGGAGAAACCACACACCTGCCCGTCCTGCCATTGCTCGCAAGCCAGAGCTGCCCGTGGGGTGACCTGTCTAAGCACATGCTCAGTTAGGCTGAAGGACTAAAGCCACAGAGAGTCTCTGTCCCATCCCCCCCATCCTTCCCTTGCTGCTGTGTCTGCACGGAGCCAAACGGCACGAGCCAAAGGAGAGCTGGGCAGCATGTTTCACCAGCTCAGAGAAACATGGCTGCACTCAGAAAACACCCATGTTTGGGCAGTGGTCCCTGTATGCTGTGGGCTTGCACTCAGGGGAGATTCCAGTGCCACCCAGCTGATCAGCAGAGCACTCACAGCTAGGCTTGTGTGTCTCCTGCTAGTGCACATTGGCACATGCCTGGCTGCACATAAAATGTATTCCACACATGGATGGAAAAATCCACACCTGGGAAAGATTAGCGGGAACATTGGTGTGGGGTCTGGGAGGGAGCGAAGCTGGAGGCGTGGGCGTAGGGCGGCGGCTCTGGACTGGGGTGCGAGATCTGGGTGGAAGTTAGGGACTTAGGAAGGGGCTCAGGCTGCATGCAGGGCGCTTACCAGGGGCAGCTCCCATTTGGTGTGGTGGGGAGGAAGGGGGCTCCATGCAGCCCGCACTCGCCTGCCACGATTCGTGGCCACAGGAGCTGCCCTCCAGCTGAGAGCAGCGTGGGGATGAAGGGGCAGGAAGGGCAGCCCATGGAGCCACCTCCCTCTGCCCGCCGGGAAGGGCTCGCCCAGAACACGGGCTTTGTGGGTTACAGCCCAGGTCCCCCCAGTTTGAAGCGCTGGGCTGCAGCCCCTACGACCCTTTCTGGACCCCGCCCTGCTGCTGAGGCCGGAGCAGTGTGGCTTTCCCCGGGCCACAGCAGCACCACGTGCAGCAGCCCCGAACCCCTGCATGGGGCTTGTTAGGCAACTGCACAGCTGTGCCACTCGGAGGGAGCCCTGCGTTTGGATTCACTCCCAGCTTCAGCGCCCCAACAGGAGGCTTCCTGTGTTGAGGGCCTTCCAAGTAGGGCTGCGGCCAGCATGTCAGGTGGCATTTGCTCCCTCGCCTTGGGAACCGTTCCTGCATATAAGTTAAGCTACAGGAGGCACATGTAGGTACTGCAGCCACAGGCATTTCAAACACCTGTGCACCCTGTGGAACTCCTTGCCAGAGGATGTAGTGAAGACTAGGACTTTAATAGAGTGCAAAAAAGAGCTAGATACATGCCTGGAGGTTAGGTCCACCAATGGCTATTAGCCAGGCTGGGTAGGAATGGTGGCCCTGGCCTCTGTTTGTCTGGAGGTGAGTGACAGGGGAGGGATCCCGTGACAATTAGCTGTTGTGTTGCCTCCTTCTGGGGCACCTGGCACTGGCCACTGCTGGCTGACAGGACACTGGGCAGATGGACCATTGGTCTGACCCACTCTGGCCGTTCTGATGGTCTAGCATGGGATACATGGCACCAGCACTCACAGGCACCTGCGAGCGTCACCCTTCTGGAATGTATGGAAACGCATTTCTCTACCCGGGGTGGCTGTGTCATCGCTACCCTCCCGGAGAGACCAAGCGCGGAACGTGCGGCTGATTTAGAGCTTCACGGAGACTCCTGCTTCCGAAGATGGTGCCATCAGCTACCCCCTTGGGTGCTGGTGGGGAAAAGGCAGGGCAG